GCCGGGGGGGCCCAGGCGCGGATCCAAGAAATCCGCGCGGAGCGCCAAAAGTTTTTGATTGATTTTGATTGCCTTCTGGCCCCGCCGTGGGTCCTCCAGGTGCACGGCCGCCAGGTTGGCGGCGCAGTCAGCCACCAGGCTGGCGGCGGCCTGCGCGGCGCCCTGGGCGGCGTGCTCCGGCGGCTCGAAGGCGCCGCCGAAGACCTCAGCGGCCGCGGCGTAGCACCTGCCGGCCTCGAGGCGTTCGCTTGCGGGTCGTGGAGGCGCACGAATATCGTTTCACTGGCCCCCATCCCCAGCGGCGTGGCCTGGGCCCCACTGGCCGACTGACCCCCCCCCAGATGGGGATGCAGGTCGTTCCCTTCGGGTTTCGGAGGGCGTCGCCCCAACTGGGGTGGCAATCTGGTGGGGGTCTCGACAGGGATGGGGATGGGGATGGGGATGGGGATCGCTTCAACGATGCCGAGCGCAGACCCCCTCGGGCCAGGAAACATCACGACAAGCTCGGGAGGGGCCCAGAGGGGGGTGTCCAAGAGGGGGGGGTGCAAATCATGGCCGGCGGCACGTGCGCGGCCCAGCGGGGGGGCCAGGGACGTAATGCAGCAAGAAGGGGCGCCTTGAGATCTGGGGAAATATCCTGGCCCCCGCCATGATATCCACCCCGCCCCAGTCATCCACCCCCTCTTTGCCGCCCCCGGCAAGCAGTGCTCTTGATCGTCTGCGGCCTCTGAGGCATGCTCTTGCGGGGCCGCGGGGCCGTGCAGAGGCACTGCTTGGGACGCGAGGCCAGTCCCGGAGAAGGGGTCCCGACCTCCCAGGGTCCACGTCGGATGCCAACACCTTCCCAGCAGCCAGAGGCGCGGTGCGCGTGGATAACAGAGGTGGCCCCTGGAGGCCCGATGCTTCCCTTTCCACTGCGCCTCGACCCTGGGGCGCAGCTTCCAAGAAAGTCCAAGACGCACTGGATGTGGATATGAATCTTGCCCGCAGTCGGGGGTCCTCGGTGCGGGGGGGGGAGGAGGGCTGGAGGGAGCAAGGAGGAGGGATAGGGGCGGGCCTTCAGGAATTGCCGCCTCCTGAAGTGGTCGTTACCGTTTGCCTTCCGCCACGCCACCTGGCCCGCGTTGGCCCTGCCCCGCTGAGGGACGGGTGGCCAACAACCAATCAAGCAGCCCCTAGCCAAGTCAAGAGGCATACCAAACACAACGAGACCATGCTGCGTTCTGATTACGTATATGCCTTGACTGGCCAACGTAAGTCTGCTTGATTGTTTCTGGTCCTCATGAGCCCGAGATTGGCGGGAGCACCAGCGCCACCTCCCTGATCTTCTCGTTCCAGGGCAGCGCCCCCGATGGCATGGGCAGGCATTCGTGCAAAGTGACCTTCGCGCCAGACAAATCCTCCTCCTCTTCCCCCCGGCACTCCTGAACTTGGAGACCGCTGTCCGTTCGCCCTCGTCCTCCTCCTCCTCCTGCTACTTCTTTTTACCCTGCTGCCATCCCCAAGGCCTTCCCGCATCCCTCTCCCTCCTCCACATCCCCTGCCCATCTCCTGCTCCTCCTGCACTTCCTCCCTGCTCCTCCCTGCTCCTCCTCCTCCCACCCTCCCGCCTTATCCCATCCTCCGCGATCCCCTCCTCCTCGCTCCCCCGTCCTCCACGATCCCCTCCAACAAGCTGGGAGCCCACGACCTCCAGTCGAACGCTCGAGTCCGGCGGCACATCCTCCTCGCCGTCGCCGCCCCCGCGGAGGCCCACCGCACCCCAAGCCCACCTGAGGGGCGACGACGAGGGCGGGGGAAGGTGGGGCAGGGGAAGGTGGGGGAAGGGGGGCAGGAGATGTGGGGGGGGGAAAGGGGGGAAGGATGTGGAACGGAATGAGGACGAGGAGGAGGAGGAGGCGGAGGAGGAGGAGGAGGAGGAGGAGGAGGAGGAGGAGGAGGGGGAGGAGGAGGAGGAGGAGGATTACGTAGGAAGAGAAGGAGGAGAAGGAGGAGTGGGAGGAAGATGGTGGTGCCCAGTGAGGAGGAACATCACGAGACGGGTTCAGCGGGAGAGAAGAATGCGGCGGAGGAGGAAGAGCAATGGGCACATGACGTGCTCACAGAAGCACGAGGTCAACGACCGGGCCGGGCGAAAGGGGGGG